TTAGTTATGTAATTTTCCCTAAAAAGAAAAAAACACTCAATGTAACCATTTTTCATTGATTTTGCATTATATCACTTGCCGAAACTATTTCACATCAATTTTACATATACTTATGAAGAAAAAATTCCAAACAATATATTTATGACCTTCATCAAAGTTGTGGTCATATTGCCACATTACCTTTTCTATAATCTCCTTTTTTTTTTGTTATTAAACGCACGTGATCGATAAAAATGAAGGAAACAATCAAAAAAGGAGACGAAGACATGCTAATTAAAAAACAGAGAGAGAGAAAACAAAAAATGATATCCAACCGCTCAAAAGATGATTGTTATTTGGTTAAGCAATAACAATTAGGTAGAAGAGATGGAAAAGATATACATTATTTAAGTAGGGAAAACAAACAAATATTAATTTTTTTATAATTCATGAGATATAATTAAATGTAATAAATATGATAGAATTATGTTTAATTATTAAACAAATTGATTAATTAAAAAAATGAAATAAAAGATGAATATTTTTTTAGACCATAAAAAATGTCATGTCACGTTATTTATGCCCAACTTTACTATATATATAGATTTGAAACGGGCCATTTAAATTGATGTATAGTATGAAAATAAAACGTCATAAAAGAATCGAAGTGTATGTTTGTGTTTGATAAGATTTAACATTTGAGTATTATGTATTATCCTAAGTTAATCTAGTCAATGGCTACTCTTAACGACCAAGTAAAAGTAATTACAATAATGTACTCCATAAGCAACAATATTTTATCCAATTGTGACATTTTTCATTAATCGATACAATATTTCATTAGAACAACTAATAAGATATGAAATACTATTTTTAACGATGAGCGATCGAAATTTGATTTATCGATAAGAAATTTTTTAGGAAAAATTTATGGACATCAAAAGATCAATGATCTTAGTGATCTTTAACTGTAGTTTTCATAGGCAAATTTTCGATAACTTGTTCATATGCATTGTATGCCGCCCTATTCCTTGCAGTGTCTTTAGTTTGACTAGATTTTCCCTTTGCAACAGATTTTCCATCGACAAAACATTCAAATTCCCTTGTTTTGTCCCAATTATCAACAATGTTTATCTCCAATTTATTCTTTTGACATAGCTGCATAATTTTCGTAACTGGTTGAATTTCAAGTGTTTCTGGAGTTATTAGTGGCTGCAACATATCTTTTACTGCCTGTAATCAAAAAATACATTGTATTTCGTCAATAGACACCCCCAAAGATACAATAAGCTAATATATATATATGTATAGTGAATAATAAAATCACCTGCCAAGTTATATCAATGGAGAAATTACAGTCGATATATATTGCGGCAATTAAGGCTTCAACTATATCTGCAAGAACTTTAGGGGGATTAATGCAACCTAATGAATGCAATGGGTACTCCAACGTAGCACTTCTGAATTCTTCCACCTACAGAAAACAACAAACATATGAACTTTTCGAGATATTTAATTGGTTCGATTTGATTTTTCGGTATTCAATTTGGTGGTAAAAATTGAAATTAGTTTGATTCAATTCAAAAAAAATTCTATTTGCAGTTACTATATTAGAAAAATCTTAGATTAATGGATTAGATGAAGGAAAAAAGGGAGGGGAGGGGAGCAGGGAGGGGGTGGGGGCAAAAAGAC